TCAAAGGGAATCAAACTAAAGACAGAAAGGCCAGTGAGGAGGCAACTGTGGTAATACAGATGAAGAGAGTTGGAAGCTTAAATTAAGTAAATGCCAGGTGCAATAAAGAGGAGAGGGAGCATCAGGTGAGAGTGAGCGGGAGAAGTCACAGGCCTGGGTCCCTGAATCTCAGTTGTCAGGCCTGGGGAGTTGGGTGGTGTGGATACCACTCACCAAGAATGGGAACACCAGGAAAGAAGTGGATTTGGAGAAACATGGGGGAGCTTAGTTCTGTAGTACATGGTGTCTTTGATTTTGGACATACTGGGTTTGAAGAGAACAGCCAAGTACTGACGCTTGGTAGGTAATGGCTTGGTGCTTCAGGAAGAGATCAGAACCCTTTGATAAGAGCACTGGCCCATTTAGAAATGAAGCTGTCTATACTTATGGACTGAAGAACCACCATTTTTTGTTAGTTGTTTAAGATGTGATCTCTGTCTTAATTATCGATAGTCATATTCAAAAGATTCACTAAATCCCATCTGGAAAATGGAGACATTTTTGAAATTCTTTTGGCAATTCAGCAGCATTATCATTGATTATTCAGTAGTGACTGAAACAAAGACACTGCCAAAATTAGACATACACTCATTGCTTTGGCTATGTTTTGAGAATTTTGTCAACTGATTGTCTTTGCAATGTCCTTCCTTTGGCTATATAATAAAAATAATAAATATACAGTCATTATTTGAATGTGTGCATATAGTTGCAAAATTAGCATGTGTTTATATGGATAATGTGTTTCTAGTTTTACACTGTTTCGTCACTCAAAAATTTTATTATGACTGCAACTTTCCCCCATAGGTATCTCTGATGAATATATAACACCTATGTTTAGTTTTTATAAAAGTATTGGGGAACTGAAAATGACTCAAGAGGAGTATGCTCTGCTTACAGCAATTGTTATCCTCTCTCCAGGTAATTTCAATGTTACATTTTAATTTTTATGCCATTTTTTTCAGTATACTAGTAATAACATTTATTGAAAAAAATCTGGAAGACACAGTAATATAAAGAAAAAGTAAAGTGGCCTATAATTCTACCATCCAAATAGAACCATTATTAACCTTTCAATACACTTCTTCTCAGTCTTTTTTTAAAAATCACACTTATTCATTTAATAAATGTATATTGAACACCTACTATGTACTAACCATGGTGCAAAACCCTGGGGATGCAACAAGACACAGCTCCCCCCATGCAACTTGCATTCTGGTAGGATGAGAAAGATAATAAATGAAGAAACAATAATATTTTTTCAGACGGTGGTAAATGCTACAAAAAATGTAATGAGAATACAAAGAAAGAGAGTGGCACAAAAATGATGTTGTAATTTGTGGTCACGGGAGGCTTTTCTAAGTGGATGGCATTAGAGCAGGGATCTAAATGAAATTACATACTTTTTAACACAATAGGGAACTTTTTTCTGAGTTTATATTTCTTCAAAAGTCATTTCTCAAGTCATTAAAAATTTACATTGGTAAAGTTGTAATATGTGCTACGTATTCTATGGTATGCATATACAATCATTTACTTAATCTTTACCATGTGTTTGTATATTCAGGATATTTCCAGTTTTTTTTTGTTGTTGAAAATGTTTTTTTCAACAGTTTTTTTTTGTTGTTGTTGAAATGAATACCTCTTTCCATATTTTTTTTCTATATTTTTGGGTTACTTTAATAATTTGGGAGTCGAATGATGCCATGTTCATGATTTGCAAAGCATAAAACAACACTAGCCTTAGACCATTTTTATACATTATACTGAGGCAGAAGCTAGTTGTTATTTTGCTTTACCATAAAAATTATGACTTGTGACTAAAAGCAGAACCTACTAACGTTATGCATGGATATGTCCTATGACCCAGTCATTTCACTTCTGAGAATATACTCACCAGAAAGGATGCTGATGTCCACCCTACAGGTTATCTTTAGGGGTTTTGATTGGAAGGGGAATTAGGGAGGCTTCTGGGAAGCATTACGTGTGTTGTATCTTGATCTCATTATAATTACGTGTGTGTGCGCATAAAAATTCATCAGGTTGAATACTTAATTTTTACATTTTGTGTACAACATTTAACTTACACTTTGAAATAGTTAACGTTGCTATAATTATGCTGAATTAATGCTTTTCCACTTTTTAATTTTGTCATTTTATTTTAAACTTCAAAACAGATAGACAATACATAAAGGATAGAGAGGCAGTAGAGAAGCTTCAGGAGCCACTTCTTGATGTGCTACAAAAGTTGTGTAAGATTCACCAACCTGAAAACCCTCAACACTTTGCCTGTCTCCTGGGTCGCCTGACTGAATTGCGGACATTCAATCATCACCATGCTGAGATGCTGATGTCATGGAGAGTAAACGATCACAAGTTTACCCCTCTTCTCTGTGAAATCTGGGACGTGCAGTGATGGGGATCACAGGGGAGGGGTCTAGCTCCTTTTTCTCTCTTATGATATTAATCTGAAGTATAACTTTCCTTTATTTCACTTGTACCCAGTTTCACTCAAGAAATCTTGATATTTATGTTGTAATTACATGTATAACTTCCACAACTGTAAATACTGGGCTAGATAGAACGACTACATTGTGTTTTAAAAGGCTCCAGGGAATCCTGCATTCGATTTGGCAAGCCCTGTTTGCCCAATCAAATTGATGGTTACTTCAATTCTATCTGTTGAACTAGGGAAAATCTCATTTTGCTCTTCATCTTACCATATTGCTTATATTTTATTAAAGAGTTGTATTCAATTTTGGCAATAAAGCAAACATAATGGCAACAGGCTTGTCTTTGGTAACAAAATTTGATAAATATACAAACTCATTTCTTTAAATGTTGAAAGACATCCTATTGAATCTGAGGGGGTAATTTACAGAAAGATACTGTCTCTCATTATGTCAATGGAACTTTTGTCATCCCTGGAAAAGTCCTGGTGAATTTGTAATAGCCCTCTGATCATTTCCTTTTCTTTGAAGTTCAAAGAGAATAGCAAACAGAAAAGTTAACAATTTTCACATAAAATATTCCCTCAAGCAATCCTTTCTCCCATAGTTAGTCTTGAGGCAGGATTCACAAATTCAGAGTATGCAGCTAACTGCAGTGATGGGACCTTCCCTTTCCTCTCTTAAAAGTGCTCCACTGGCTTCATTGTATCCAATCATCTTTCTGTTTTGTTTTGCTTTTGAAAACATTCCTACAGCTGGGTGCACAGCTGCTGTATACTTCCCCCAAAGTAGGAATTACTTCATTTCCTTCTTTCATTGTTACACTGTTGCATTCTTCTCCCCATTATCCTTTGGTGAATACAATAAAACACCTTCTATAAGTAATGGGCTTATATCTCCCTTTCTCCTAAAATTAGCCAAAGTGGAACATGATTAGCAAGCAGTTTTTTTTATATCAAAATACTAGGACAACCCTGGAATTCTAAAAATAACCAGTCAGTGGAAAACTCTGTTGAGGCTAGCATCAATTGGATTCTGATACAACGAAAATGTCTTGAGTTCCCAGTAAGTACAAGATTCATTTGCTAAACTCCATGGAGGATACAGAAATGATTAAGACCCAGTAACAAGAGCTGAGCCCAATGGCTCACACCTGTAATCCCAGCACTTTGGGAGCCTGAGGCTGGAGGATTGCTTGAGCCCAGGAGTTTGAGACCAGCATGGGCAACATAGGGGAAACCCTGTCTCTACAAAAAATAGAATAAAATCAGCCAGGGGCTGTGGCTTGCACCTGTGCTGGTCCCAGCAACTTGGGAGACTGAAGCAAGAGGATTGCTTGAGCCCTGGAGTTGGAGGCTGCATTGAGTCATGATCGCACCATTGCACTCCAGCTTGGGCAACAAAGCGACACCCTGTCTTCAAAAAAAGAAAAAGAACAAAACCCAGTAACTGCCCGGAGGGAGTTACAAAGGCTGCAGCGGAACTTGCCGTAGGCGTACCCTGGAACTTGGGAAAGTTTCATAGAGGAGATGGTACTTCTGCTGGACTTAAAGGGATAGCCCTGCATCAGTGGGTCCAGGTAGGAGGGAAGGGGTTCAAGGTGAAAGGGGTGGCAGGAGCAAAAGGAGAAAGGTGGTGGGTTGTACAGATGTTAAAAGACCATACGTAATCTGGGGAGGGAGGGAGGATGCACAGTCTCTTTCTAAATTTCAGTTTCACCATTGTGAAATGCAGAGATCAGCACTTATTGCATCAGGGAATTTGGCTTATTAATGAAGAGTAAGTGGGAAGTAGCAGGCCAACCAGGGAGAGGGTTGGTGAGGAAAGGATATTGAAGAAAGAAGTAAATTTCTGAATGCCTGAAAAGGTAGATCTAGTTTGGGGGAGCTGAGTACAGTTTGGTGTCTCTGGATCTCATGCCACCTGTGCAGACAGCAGTGAGAAATGAGGCCGGAACTGGTGGGGCACTGGAGACAGAGCAAGAAGCTTAATCCTATAGGTCTGGATTTATTCAAGTGGTTAAGACCTTGTAACAGCAAACAATAATGCTCATCACATGGAAAACTAATTGTGATGCTATAAGAAATACATACTGTTTTTGTTCCTGGTTTGTGACACAGCTTCTAAGAGCCTTGGGATTTCCTGAGTGATAGGGGTAATAAGAGCATCTCTTGGTGAAAATAAAATACAAATTTTAAGTGCTATGAAAGAGAAGTATGTCTCTTGCTCTGATATGCACTTTTATGGGTCATTTTCCACACTAGTAGAGTGATTTTTTTTTTCTAAAATGCAAATCTGGTTACATGTTCCCCATCCCACTTGATTTCCCATTGACTTGAGCAGAGACCCAGAGCTCCTTGGGAGAGCAGCTGGCTATGGAGACCTCCCCGCCGCCCTACTATATGATCCTACCGGTTTTGTCTCCTGCCCTACCTATATTCTAGGTTTCCAAATAAAATGCACTCCGCAGAGGTCTATCTTCTCTTACACCAAATGAGAAAGAAAGTATAGAGACGGGGGAAAGAAAGGGGTTTGCTTGTTTTCTCCCTTTTCCCTTCCATCCCAGGTCCCAAGTAGGGGTGATTTTGTGTCGCAGACGGACATTTGGCAACGTCTGGAGACACTTTTGGTTTTCATAACTTGGAGGTAGAGGTGCTACTGGCCTCTAGTGGGTAGGAGCTGGTGATGATGCTAAGCTTCCTACAACGCACAGAATAACCTCCCTCAGCAATTATCTGGCCCAAAATGTTAACAGTGCTGAGGTTTAGAAACCCTGCTCTCTCCCATCCGGTCTTAGTTCATTTAGGCTGCTGTAAAAATATACCGTAAACTGGGTAGCTTATAAACAACAGGAATTGATTCCTTACAGCTCCACGAAGTCCAAGATGAAGGCACTGGCAGATTCAATGTCTGGTGAGGACTTCCTGGTTCCTAGATGGCATCTTCTAGATGTGCCCTGACATGGTGGAAGGCATTAGCTAGCTCTCTTGGGTCTCTTTTATAAGGGCACTAATCCCAGTCATGAGGCTTCACCTTCATGGCCTAATCACCTCTCAAAGGCCCTACCTCCTAATACTATCAATTTAGGAGTTAGGATTTCAACATATGAATTTTGGGGGGACACAAATATTCAGACCATAGCATTTCCCAAGAAAATACGACTCCTACAGAGTACTCTCTCTTGACCTGATCTAGCATCTAGCTTCAGCATAATTCTCATGGTGGTGGTTTTCTAGTTCATAACAACATTGTGGACAGTCATTTTATTAATGAATCCAAATACTGGATATGAGTAACTGTTTTTGAAATTTTGTTTTCTTTGTTTGTTGTTCAGAATGAGAAACTGATTTCACTCATTGATCCTATAGCAGCAGAATTTTACTTTTCCCCAGATTTTTACAAACTTACAATTTATTCTTTTTTCCTTATGTAAAATAATAAATTTAGTACACTATCACATATCACATTTGGGTGTCAGCTGACTTATTTGTTGGACACTCAGAATCCACTGCCTTTACTTCTGTAAGAGTACTCTGATTTCTGCAGGGGAACCACCCTCTTCCGTCTCTTAGTCCATATGTTGTAAGTGGAGTTGATTCCACCCCCAGCTCCTGAGTTGGAATGTGACTCAAGCATAGCTAATCAGAATATCACGTATCTTAGGTCACAGTCATTGGTTTAGAATTGGGCAGGTGACTTGTTTAAAGAAAATGAGATATATTGCTGGAAGTATTTTTAGGAGGAAGTCAGTGTCAGTTACATGCCACTGTGTGTGTGTGTGTGTGTGTGTGTGTGTGTGTGTGTGTGTATTAATTGTTCCAAATTCTTCACTCTCTCCCTGTAGTAGAATTGTCTGGTCAGGTTATTTGACTCGTGAATTTGCAGTGCCTCTCACAGGAGTAGGCAGAACATACTTCCCCACCCACTGATGTTGAGCTTGTCTTTGTGGCTTGCTTTTGGCAATGGAATGTGGGTGGAAGTGAGAGTGTCAGTTTCGAGCTATGGCCTTAAGAGACATCCCATGTTTCTGCTGCTGCTCTTACACTTCCGCTATCTTCCATGAAAAGGGAATGCCCTGGATAGTTGCAAGTCTCAGAATGAGAGACAGAAGGAGCACACCTAAACTCAACTTACAGCTTGAAGCAGCATCCCTCCTCTCAACCATGAGCTAACATGCAGATCGACAAACAAGAAAAATCAATGTTTACTACTGTAAGCCACTGAAAGTTGGGAGTTGTTTGTTATACAGCATTATCATAGCAACAGTCTAGCTAATATATCCTATTTGTGTTCAGATCTGTTCCCTTCCTTCCCTTCTCTGTTCATCTAGGGAGGGAGGGCTAACCCCTGACCGGCTACATTTTATAGGTTTCTCTGTTAACTGGCTTTGGCCAGGTTCAATCAATGGAAGGTATTGATGGGAGACTGGAGGATGAGAAGGGAAATGCCAGGATATTTCTCCCTCACTCTCTTTGCCTCAGATTGCATCTCTGGTAAAGACTGCATCTCCTACATGGTTCTCAGTCCCACTGGGAAACTCCCCCCACCCCAGTGCTGATGGCCCTGGTTTCTAAACTCATCTTTTGAACTCTAAACCCTAGAATTACAGTGGCTTCCTACTATTGCTAATCTCTGAGTTGTCTTACCTGCTCCTGTTTACCTTCTCAACTGTTTTGCAAAACCAAGTCTGTGTTAAGTTCCTGTTTTTTGATGCACCTATAATGGTTTGTGTCTTCTGACTTGAGAACTGTATCGAATGACTCACTTTTTTTTAGTTAGACTCAAACCTAAGAGAATGAAGAACTAGAATTCTGGAAACCATCATATAACCAGGAGGAACCTGAGAATAAAGTCAACATGAAAACCAAAGCCAGTAGAGACTGGATTTTGGTGACATTATCTAAAATCTTAGATCAAGCTGTACCTAAACTTAGAGCGTTCTATCCTGGGATTTTAATTACACGAGCCAATACCTGCCCTTTTTTTCTTAAGTGAATTTGAGGATTTTTTTTTTTTTGCTATCAAATATAACTAAATGTGATAGAAACTTGATGATACTTGAACAGTAAGCCATTTAGAAATAACATGTGCTCTTTAAGAGCCTGGCGTGGCTACAGTGCTAATATTTGTGAAGATGTCTTATAGATGAACTGTAGGAGAGGGAGTGTAGCTCAATGTAATCATTCTTGCTAGGCTGTTAGATTTTTACATCTCTCTCCAGATATAGATTGTATTCGCTTCTTAGGGGTACTCTTAACAAATTGCCACAAATTTGAAAGCTGAAAACAATAGACATTTATATTATTTCAAGTTTCTGGAGGCCAGAAGTACAAAATCAA